ATCAACACATATTTATAGATTTTCATGTACATTATCATAGATTATTAAGGCAAACAAACACAGCCCTCTGATTGGTTGTTTCTCACACAAAGTTAATTTTTCATCCTTTTGTGGCTGTTTCTTGAATGTCAGACCATCTATATGCTAGCTGTACCCGCCTACGCAAAGCCTTTGTTCTCATTTTTCTCACAGCCAATACTGAGGACGTAAACGTTGACGTAAATTGCTGTCTACCAACTTTGGCTAGCAACCACCTCTCATCATATATATATATATATATATATATATATATATATATATATTGAAAAGTACAAGTGAAGACATAATCTTGTGATGAAACCTGACCCACCACCACTGTTCAGGGTACAAAAACACATGAAGCACTTTTCAATGCTACCCCATGAGATGACTTTTAACTGTTAATATAATACACCGTCGGACAAATCTCCAACTTATGTGTATGTGTATGAACCTGAACAATTAGAGTCGCAAACGTTTGTAATACCACAATATCTCCAACTATTGAGATCTAGAGATGTGTACTAGTCAACATAACCTTCTAGTTCTGTGATTATCCATGTGTATCGATCGGGTGTGCGATGCAGTCACAAGATTGTGGCACTATTATGTGACATGAGGCACTTATAAGGAAGGGACAATGCACAACAGACTGTCAACATAGGTTTTATTGTTAAACCCTTCAAAGGGACATGCTTACAAGAGAATGCCAAAAGTTAGAAAGATTCCACAAATTAGGGAAAATTCCATTCTGTATCACAAGTAGTTTTTGGAATAAAGTAAATCATTATTATTATTATAACTACTAGAAAATTGGTACAATTACTACACTATTGTTATTACCATTGTGGTGAGAGCTGGCTGCTAGCCAAATTGGTAGACAGTAATTTATGTCCATGTTCATGTCCCAAATACTACTCATGTGAAAACAAGAACAAAGACTGACTCAACAAGCAGTCACAGCACTTCGCGTAGGGGGATACAGTTAACATATAGATGATCTGACATTTAAGAAACAGCCACTAAGAGATGAGAGATTAACTTTCAGTGAGAAACAACCGATCAGAAAACTGTTTGTTTGCTGACAACAATCTATAATAATGTACATGAAAATCTACTAATACGTGTTGATTTCCTTAGTATACGATCTGTCGCCTGATTCTTGCCTTCTGTCATTACACCATTTATTCTTCGCGATCTGTGTGAAACAGCGTCAGTGACACATCCCTACAGTACTCCGTTCTCAGCTGGCTGCACCACAACTGTCCACAAGATTTGAAGTTCCCTTTCCACTATGATCTTGGATGAGTAACTCGTCGACTCTAATTTATAGTCTACTGGACCCTACTCTCTGTAACTAAGCCCACGACTCTCGATCTCCTGCCGAGTGGGTTCTATCACACTCAAATTTCCAATGTGGTCAATCACCATAACTAGGTGGTTTGCCATTGCAGTGTAACTCTATATTGATGCTAGATAGTTAGAGTGAGTTGGCAAGAAACCTTGCATGTAGGTCTCGTGTATTTTGGTTACAGGATTTCATCATAAGCTGATATTGGTTAGAGAACTATTGGAAAACCTGGGAGTACTAGACAGCCAGCTGTTCGTCCTAGTTTGGGACTCTTCATCATTATGCGCTCACCGGGGTTCGAACCCAGGACATTCTGGTTACAAGGGGAGCTCGTATACCACCAAGCCACTGGGACCCGATCCAATGGCCCATGAATTCTAACTCGAGTTTTTGCCATTCACTAGTCAAGGCAGGAGGTATCCAAAATCTAGAAAGGAATTTAGATCTCTTTCGAGATTTGAACTCGGGTCAGCCAGTGAGTGCTCTAGTCAGAGAGACCTTACGTACCATTAAGCTATTTCGGCTTCTCAATTGACTTCCTGTGTGACTGTAATGGCTAAATGAATGGGCTATCTCTAGGAAGTAACCAATTGCTTCCACCAACCGTCCGGCTTCAAGACAGTCCGGTTAGTTACTCAGTTAAGCTATTGAGAGAAAGAGGGCTATGAGCCACCCTTACCCCTCCTCTTTTAAACAGTCTGATGTGTGATGTTAACAACGAAGGCTTCCTCAGCCTTATCGCACTAATCTGAATATATTGTGAACAAATGTTATCATAACCCTGATTTACTCTATTCTGGAAATGTTGACGTACGTATACATACACACACACACACACGCATAGACGACAGTTTCATACCTATGCATACATTACTCTGGTATTTGTTGCCAAGGCAGATTATTTTTAGAGTCAAATACGTCAGAAAATGAACGAACTGTAAGAGGGACGCTGAGAGAGAGTGAGAGAATAAAACAGCACACAGTGATATTCTCTGACCTAGTGACCTTATTTTTAACAAAGTAGAAGACAAAGGTGCAACGATAGTGAGATTGGAATTCAATTATACCAACACAGAAAGGCACATACATACCCACCTACGCACGCACACAGACACGTGAACGAATGCAGCCACATAGCTTGCTACAACTTGATAAGAATATATACATCTGTAGATAGATATATGCACTATAGTTTATCACCATGCAAATGTACACATACAAACCAACAATAGACAATGAGTGAACAAAACTCTGTAAAAATCATGAATGAACTTGTTTTAGAGCAGCTTTCAAATGCATATACATATTTAAGAATTAGTAGTTAGGTATAATATAGTGGTAATTGTAAATATGCCTATCAGTAGAATGATATTTTGCAAGCGTATATATATGTGGTAAAATGAAACGACTTCACATAAGAGTTAGATTGTTGAAGATATGTTGTCTACACAATAGGACAATGAAAGCTCGTACAATTTGATTTCTGATTTACAGCTTGATTCCACACTGTACTTTTGGTACAAGTATGGAATTTTCAGCATGGATATCCGTAGCCCAAATTTTCCAGGCCGACCATAGATATCAGGTGTGCGTCGGCGTGGGCTCGAACCCCGGACCATGTGCATGGTCGGCGAGAGTCCTAACCACTGTGCCACCGACGCACAGGTAACGACTTCAGTCTTTGGAATTTAATTGGCGGAAGGTGACTAGCAGTGGAATCCAGGACAACGTGCATTTCGTTCTATTTGGGACTCGTCACTGGATGTAACTGCATTCCCGAGACTCGAACCCAGTGCTGCATAGTTTCAAACGCTAAAGCGTTATCCACTAATTATATGCCCAGACATCGTTGAAGCATCTGCACATGAAGCTGACAGACATGTCAACCTGAGACCGAGCACTACGGTCTGATCAATCGACGGGAAAATCTAATTTAATTAAATAATTAATATGACCCGTTGCACAAGAGGTGGCTCCATGGCCTAGGTGGGGTAGTTGATAACGCTTTGGCGTTTGAAACTATGGAGCACTGGGTTCAAGCCTCGGTGGGAACATCATCACTCACTGGGAAATGCAGCTACATCCAGATGACGAGTCCAAAAGAGGACGAAATGCGAGTTGTCCTGGATTCCACTGCTAGTCACCATCCACCAATTCAATTCTAATTAAATGCCCAGACATAGTCGAAGCATCTGCACAAGAAGCCGACGTGTCAACCTGAGACCGAGCACTTTGGTCCAATCATGCGACGGGAAAAATCGAAAATTCAATTAGACTTCAGTATTTCTTTTGAACTCTCATATGCGGCCACGCGTTCATAGCCCCTGTAGGGATGTTCTCCTCACTAAAAGTGAAAGGATGAATGTCAATGTCTGAAACTTACAAGGGGACTGGTGGTAGATGATATACAAGTCTACGCACACCTAAGGGGGCTGGATAAACCCTGATTTCAAACCTATGGTGGTGCACGTATGGGAGCTTCAGAGTCCAAAAGAATCGAATGGGGTATGTATCTGTTTCCGTCACCGACGACTAAATAAGCATGGCTTCCGAAGTCATTTCACTGCCTTGTGATGAAGACTTCAAGTCAAAGGCTCAGAGAGGGTGTAATCACTCAAGACAACCACCCGCCTCGATCTGGACGCCTGGGCAAACTATGAGATTTCCTGCAGCGCAACTCTTAGTGCCTATAATAAAACCGAATTTCCGTTCCAATAATAATAATACACCGAAAACATCTTTCTGAGGGCTACAAATCTTTTTCTGCCAGTAATTATTATTCCAGTAACTTACTTCACTTTCTGAATCCAACAATAGTATTGTGATATCATTGCCTGAATGGAAAGTTTTATTCTTCATAGTCACATCCGATGGTGGATTGTGTGAGCTGCCTTCAGCATCTTGACTCCAAATCTAGTCAACAAAAACAAAAGTGGGTGAAGAATTATAGAAGAAGAAGAAGAAACGAATATGTTGAATGAAATCAATCCTATGAGTGAACTGTGAACACACTACACACATACCAAAGAACTTGAGACTAAAAGGTCCCCGCAAGCATTAAACAGTACGATTGCTCGTCATCTATTGGACACTGGTCATATTGTAGAATTCAACCTGAAGTCGTTCAAAATAATCAACAAGCAAAAGAAACCTAGCTTGCTACGCTTTGCTGAAGCAATTGCTCTGTCAAACGACTTAAACCAAATCTATGTAAGCAGAAAGAAACAACGGTGAATCTTGCAGTGCCCTAATGATAACAAAAAAATATACAACTTTCATGAGTCACCTTTTTCATGTTTAGAAAACTCTACTCTCTCATCTAAACATGACTCACCCCATCTTGTTTCTTTTCTTTCCTTTCTTCTATTGGCTATTAGATAAGATGCTTTCTTTAGTTACGTAATCTACTTTTTTTATGCTCTTTCTAGCTGAACCTTGTTTCTATACACACACATATATACACAACCCTGTTTTCTTGTTTCCAAGCCTAATTGTCTAATTATTCTATAAATAGTCAGTGTTTGTAACTCTTAATTAGTTAAATCATTCCAGACTAATGTTACCTTTACTTCCTACCAACCAATTACTCCCTGGTAGATCGTGGATAAAAGTATGTTCATACCTTTAATGTAATTCATATGCTTTTTTAACGTTCAGGTTGTAACCAGTTGAGAAGAATCCTCGAAATAATAATAAAAGATGAGCTCATATTATCCTCTGGTACAATTGTTGTTCTTGCTTTGTTCAAGTTTAAAAACGAGTTAGTTAAAACCTTTTCACTTAGGGTGTGACTTTTATAACGCTCTGGGTGGTAAGTTTCGGGTCTCATTGGGAAGATATATCCAGGGGATAAGTCTTGGAGCAATGCTACCTGACATAGGATGGGACTGTAGGAGTGTTAGAGGTGGACCGATCAAAATAATGGCATCAATCTATCAACCTAAGTCCGTGATTGTTGCTTTAGGTCACGTTATGGAGGTGTTGACACACACACACACCGAGAAGCAATAATTCGAGATTATTGGTGACATGATTCAAAATCGTTTCTCAACGTAGCAGATGCACTCTTGTGAAGTGTGGCAACACTTGAACTTCTGCACTTTACTGAAAACTTCAATGTTTGAAACTCAGTGAGTCAGTTGAGTTTTCAATAGCACGAGACTGACGCCCTGGATCCTACTGCAAGACACCAATCAAGTAAATGGGCTTATATTTATGTCCTCACAATAGTACGACAAACCATATAATTATCTACAACAAGTAAATGTATAATTTTTCAGAATTTAACAACAACTCTGGGTGTAGATTTGTCGAATCTTTATTCTATTTAAGAATGTTTTAAGACTGAAGAATGTTCATTTTCTGAAAAACTAACTAAAAGACTGATTACCTTTCAACATAGAACTTTGTCACACTTCATGACATGGTAGTCGGGTTTGCCACACTGGTTGGAACTCGTGTTCCCGTAGGTCGTTTGGATAGCGGTTAAACTGAAAGCAAGAACCATCACAGGGTAAGTTGTTTGCATCATGTTGGGGGGGGAGAGGGATCTGTGATTGAAGCCGTACCTGCTGTCGAATACGGATACCACCAGCAGTAAGACGTTGGCCTCAGATGACCACCGCCAAACTGGAAAAGGTAGACCCTAAAGATTGTACATTATTCCGGACTTATTCCCCTGAGACAGTAAGATCCTTATACGGACGCAATTCCAAAGTAGACTCCAGTGTAAAAAAAAAACTTAAGTACAAGTCACGCGAATGAACTGAAAGTTATGTGACTTTATCAAACAATCTGCATGTCAGCAAGGAGTGGGACTTAACGGCGAAAAGACTATAGCGACCCATGGAATGCAAACACGCGACTGACTGCCTTTGAGGCGAACAATCAGAAAAAACAGTGGTTTCCAGGTTTATTTACAAGAGAAATGCATGAAAACACATAAAAACAGGATGTTTTCCCTGACATGACTTAAAAATATCTCGCAATTATAATGAGAATCTATTGGTTACTAGGTTAAACCAGTTCCTATACATGTATTCATCGAGGTGACTGAAGATGAGTTCTTATCCTGATTTCCAGTCCTTCCCAAAAGCCTTCGATTGAGTTAGTTAGTTAGTTAGTATAAGTCCCAGTGAAGGGATCTACGACTGTTTACTAGGAAAATGAAGATAAAAAAAATGCAACACCTCAAACCTAAGAGAAGCTATCGACACACATTATCCAAACAGTACTCAAAAACGAGATGGGGATGAAATCTGCACCCCATTTTGGTGTACATCGTTTATAGTGGCACTGTCTGTCTGTTTTCGACATAGAACTTTGCACAAATGTGCGGAAGTTCAAGTCGCCACACTCCGTGTAGCACGCGAAGCAAGAGAAGAAAGTACAAGAAAAGCATAATAGAAACAGTGAGCAGAGGTGTGAGACAAAGGAGTAATAAAGAAATACAAAACAGTTTCATTGAAGATCATAAGTCACAGGGAGTGGATGCATCTGCGCCACTGAGAACGATTTTGAGCCATGTCACCAATTGTTTCCAACCATAGATTTTTACCGTCCCGAGGACCCCAACCAGCTATGAAGTCTACACCTTCCTACGTGACTGGCTTAGACCAACTGTTGTGGATTTCATTGACTGATGCCAAGTTTTTGTTTGACCGCCGCTAGCTTTTTTCCAGCCTGACCCTATATCCGCTAACATAGCTCGTCGAGGGAGGCGATGGCTTGGCATACGTAGCACATGTCCTAACCATCTCAGTCTTTGTAACTTCACGACTTCGTCGATTGATTTCCCCTGTTTACCTAGAACTCGACGCCTAACCTCAATGTTGCTCACCTTATTATGCCACTTTACACGGGAAATAGAGCGCAGGCACCTATGATCAAAGACAGCTAGTCTTTTTATGTCTTCCTGCACTAGTGGCACTATAAGCATAGTAGGTCCTGTTATCCAAAGCCTGGCCATGAGTTCAAAGTCGTTGATGCATCTGCACTCCCAGATAGCTATACTTTAACTTCACTGCATTTATAGCCATGGTTTAATACACTTTGAACCCATGCACACTAAACAAATGGAATCCTTAGTATGCCTCCAAAGCCTCAGGATGGTCGGGGGTGGGTGTCTTGCGCTGCGGGTTGGCCACCCCTCCGTACACCTCTTGAAATGCTCCCATATGACCGGGCGTCTTACATAGCCTCTCCTGAGGAAGTCCTACTCACTGCCTTCACGTGGCGGAGGTGTTTTTCACCAAAGTGAGAGGGCAAAAGCGGATGCCCGGCGCTCTTCACCGGGTTGACTGTCCATTGGATGACAGTCTAGGGGAGATGGCTAAACCCTGATTCCAAACCTCCAACGACTGGCGTATGAAGCTCACCGGCAGACGTATGGACAAAGGGCTTATTGGATGCCCTGGATGACTGGCCCTATTCAAAAAGGCGAATGAACCGGACTCCGGTCACCGGCTGCCAATGGATAGTGGACTCCCTACTCCACTCCTACTGCCTTGTAGGTCACACTTGGTTGTGTAAAGGCTAGAGCTGCACTCTCAAACAAAAGGCCGAGCGATGCTGGGGACATCACTCGTACCCAATTCCCATGAAACTTCATGGTTCATGAAGCCGGCTCATCCTCCCGTAGGAGATAGCCGAAGTAAAGTAAAGTAAGTAATCCTTAGTATGCTGTGGTGGAAACAAAGAGGTTAGTGGTATTTTTGAAGGGACTAACTGTTTTCAACGTAGAACTTTGCATAGATGTACAGCAGTTCGAGTTGCCACACTCCCTTCAAGTAGCCCACAAAGCAAGAGAAGAGGGTAGAGAGAGAAGTGTAAGGAGAAAAGAATAGTACTATGGAAGAACAGTAGAATTTTATTGGATATAATAAATCACAAAGAGTGAATGCACCTCCATCAGTCATATTACCTATTGCCTCCAGTCATTGACTTATACTATCCATAGGACCACAACCAGCCATTAAGTCTACACCTTCCTACGTGACTCGCTGGCTTACACTAACTGTTGTGAATTTTATTGACTGATGAAGCCATGCTTTTGTTTGACTACCACTAACTCTTTTCTAACCTAATCCTATGTCAACTAACATTGCCCATTGTCGAGGAAGGTGATGGCTAGCCATACATAACACACGTCCTAACCATCTCACAGCCTCGTGAATTGGTCTCTCTTACTTACCTAGCACTCGACCGATGCCTAACCTCAATATTGCTCTCCCTATCATGCTAACTTTTAACACGGAGATAGAACGCAGACACCTGTGATCAAAGACAGCTAGCCTAAACGTTCATGTCTTTCATTTTAAATGGCCATGTCTCACTGACAGCCATAAAGGAGATGGGAGAGAACTGCTGAGCAGTATACACGCCTTTTTGGTCGACAATCAGCCGAACATCACATCTGCCAAATCAGATTGCGTAAGTTGGCTGAAAAAATGCCAAACGAAACTTCTGTATCCGTGCTGACATTTCGTCAGCAACCGACCAACCTGATGCTGTTGGCTGATGGAACTCCCCAAATAAGTGAAGTAGTCAACGCACTCTACCACTTCACTCCTTATCTTCAAGCTAGGAGTCAATGTAATTCAGTCATGTAGCACCATCTTATTTGACAGGACCGAATCGCACACCGAACATTCGTAAATTGCTGCTTAAGGTGTTCAGAAGACTCTGCATTTTTTCAGCGTCTTCATCTACAAGGGACTCAACTTGATACAATATGGTGAAATGTTCTAAAGAATTTCTTAGCTGTCTCAAGATTTCATGACATGATTGTTAGAACATATGCACACACACACACAGGGTAAGGAGATGAACTTACTGTGCATGCTGCACCAGGTTTTAAAGCGAATGATCGAGAGAATTTGTGACGAGTTTCATGTCCATCAGCTTCATGAACAAGTTCCCAGTTGCCCATGGTTACTTCCTGGAAAAATTTTAAAAAATGAGGCATTTTGTTATAAGGCTATATATAAAAGTTAACTAGAAAATAATGACTATACCATAGGACAGATCGATGATTGTGAGATAATAGGCGGTTGTTCAAACCTTAGATGAGAGACACAGAGTCAGGTATAAACCTTAAAGGAAGGTAATCCTGTAAATGAAATCACACTATTGCAACAGAATTTAAGTAATACACACCCAAAGACCTCAGTTGCCAGTTACTTTAATAATGAAACATACACGAACACACGCAGAGCGACCCAGCTTAACAAAGCGATGGTATATGAATTCAGTTATTCTCTTCACTTAATCACCGTCCAGAGACACTATCGCAAAAATCTTCTAGGTAACTTAACATACCATTTGGTAGGGATCGGGTATGACTAGTACATTCTCGGACCATTTGGACTGACGCTGCTTCACAACCTGATGTCACCTTGTTCAGACGTGTTAACTTGCTTCATGTCACGATGATGTGATACGCTGTTCAGAGATATAACTCTGCCAGGTACAGTATCATCCATGGCTGCCTGTTTATAGTTGACTGACACAATGCTTTATATTCCAGAGTCTAAATTGGCACAGGATGACCAAATACCTGTGTAAACATGGAGTTACCAAGCGTTGGTTTGCAGGAATTTGATTGGTTATGGGATTGAGATCATCAGCTGACCAACAGAGAGTACTAAACAGCACTGTCCCATCCCAATAGTTTGGAACTATTCATCAGTACGCAACCACTACGGTTCGAACTCAGGACCCTCCGGTTACGAGGCAAGCTGGTAGACCATTCAGCCACTGGAACCCAATCGAATAGTCCATGAACTTCAGCTTCTGCCAATTTGTGCGCAACCGCCAGCTCGTGATCAATCCTGTAGCCAGTTAAACCTCAGCAAACTAACACTGGATAATTAATCTGATGCTCAGTTAGCGACTGGTCCTACATAGCAGGTTGCCTGGGGTTCTAGTAAGAAGTTATAACCAGCAGGGTCAACCAAGTTAGGTAAGAAGACACTAACTCGCCTTTGACGCTGGCTGGCTGGTTGAAGTAGATATACATATATCACGAATTAGCAAAAGTTGGGATTCATAGCCCATTGGTTGAATGAATGGTCTACGAGCTCGCCTTGTACCGCTGAAGAGTCCCGACTGTCCAGTTCTTCTGAGTTCGCCAATGGTTCTCTAACTACTGATGTTTGCTGGTGATTAATCCTAGACCTGGATTGAACTTTAGTCAGTTACTCTCAACAAACTAGAATGAAATCATTTATCCAGAGTTATTTTGCCGCCTTCAGGCATATCAACGGTCAGGTGAAGGTGAAATCCCATCAAAGAATAAATTAAACTGATAAAAGTATACAGTGACGCCCAATTAGACAAAATAATGCAATCTAGAAAGCAGTCTGCAATGACTATAACGTCAACTTGCACACGTCAGACCTGTAGATCGTGGGCAATCAGATAGATTATTGGGGCATGAAAATTTAGCTGAACGCGACAGAATGATGAGGAATTTTCGAAAAAAGAACTCAACCATTGTACTGCAAGCATTAGTAAACACACAACAGGGTGGAAGAGAGCTACAATTCTATAAAATGTAATATAGGTAGGTAGAGGGGAAGGTTGGTCACGGAATCTTTGTTCAAAGGACCCACCAACACACACACACACACCTAGCACGTGCAACAGAAATGACACGACGCCAACATACCACAGATACATGGGAAATATTATCATCAATAAAACCAAACGATGAAAAATAATAGAAGTTATGATAATCCCTTGATGATATAATTATGAGTAATGAATTGTCCTCAAAACGTCATTAGTCTCCCTTTGCGTAGAAAATTAGGGAAAGAGTGAATGAGGAACGTCATCCAAAAAGCGAGTAAGCATATTTGTCAAGATCATTCAACATTCAATACTTCATGGTACTTTCAGAGAAGGGGGAAGCTGAAGCATGTTAGCCACTGATGACGACTCTTGACTATATCTGACCACGTTCCGAGCCACCGATTTGAACTATCTTCAGGAATCCGACCAGAGAGTTGTGATGTATCAGGTGACACTAACTGGACACAACCATCCTTCATCCGACATCATAGGGTGACCACCACCTCTCTGCTTTATCCATCCAGTCCCTGGGCTGGAACGAACAGAGACTGACACTGAAGCCTCTGAGGTGACATTAGTAGCACATGTCTAAGCCACTGAAGCCCCAGTGTTTCCAAATGACAACACTCAATCAATACTGATCTATACCGTGTCCAAACACGCGCTACTAGACTTTAGAATTACTTACCTGATGATGCCATTGGACGTAAGTGATGATTGGATACCAAGAGTCACTGCACACTCTCAGGTCTGAAAAACCGTCTTATCAAATAACATCATTCTATGATAGAATATTACTCTAAAATAGCGCCCAAGTTCCATTTTTAGGACAATGGAATTTAAGACCACTGGAGATCTTAATGAACAATTCATAACGGGATTTTTTCATTGATATGGGCTCTTTTTGGTGGTCAGTATTATTAGCGTCTGTTTAGGGAACCAACTCAGCATGTGTTAAGCATTTATGAGAAATACCGCTCTGTGAATAGAGATCATTAAACATCTGAATGAGAAGTCACGTGTTAGAACTAAACCAAAGGGGAAGATCTTCACCGACGATATATGTCTGATTTCTCACAAACTGGAAGATATGCAAATGAAAAGCAACAAGCTGGCGATAGAAGAAGCATCAAAGATAGGACTCCAAGTAAACATAAAGAAAACAGAGGTGATAAAGGTTCCTGGGCAACACCAACAGTGACAACAATAACAGACAACAATCAGCCAGCATAAATGGGAGGAACCTGAAAGAAACAACCTCCCTTACTGACCCACCTGGGAAGCATCGTTTCAACTATAGGCGGATGGAACTGACAAGGATATCAAAGCCAGAATCGGAAAAGCAAGACAAGCTTTCATTACTCTTAAGCTAGTGTGGGGGTTAACAGCACTCAACATCAGAAATAAGATCCAGATTTTCAACTCCAATGTGAAGTCGGTCAGTGCTACTCACTGTACGGATCAGAGACTTGGCACGTCATAAAGAGCATCTCAAACAAACTATAGACCCTCATTGACAGTTGTCTTCCCCAATACTCAACATCAGATGGCCAGAAGGATCAGCAACAGGGATCTCTGGCAATCAGCGAACCAACCAGGAACCGATTGTGAAACAAATAAGCATGAAGAAATGGAGATGGATTGGCCATACTCTGAGGAAATCATCAAGTGACATCACTAGCTAACCCATAGCTCGAGTGGAACCCGAAAGGGAAGCGGTGAGTTGGTCGTCAGTGCAAGGGTGACTTGGAGGAGGTCATGTGAAGAGGAGATGAAAGCATGTGGGCAGACTTGTAGCCAGGTGAAAACATTAGCGGAGAACCAATTACAATGGAGACGTGCAGGTGAAGCCCTATGTTCCTCTAGGAATAAAAGGAAATAATAATAAATAAAAGGGAAGATATGCAGTGAAGAAGGTGCCTATCAGGAGGAATTATTCATGATATAAATCAGTGTGACAAATTTATGTGAAACCAACAATAATAACAACAACAACACTAGTGTCTTACATCAGTCGACGTATTATGTATCTTTATCCATTTTCCATGACTATCCTGTTCTTTAAAGAATTCCACAGGCCCATGTGCAGTGCATGCCACACGATAAGCGAATCGTGACCGAGATGGTGTGAAGCTTGTCCCGGTTAAATTGGCAGCCGATTCATCTCCATCAAAGTCTGCGTCAGTACGCCTGCGTTTACTACCAGGTTGAATATTGAATGGTGAATCTCGTGGAGCTGGTGTCAAGTTAAGCCTAGAAGAAAAGACAAAATTTCAAACAAACCAAAAAAAGAACACAGAAGTTACTACCGCTATTTAATTGTCTTTAACAGTCATTCACAAATTCGAATAATTATGATTCAGAAACTGTTTCACGGGTACGGAGTGGGTCGTCGCAAACCTTTATCAATCTTATTCAACAGCTGTATGATAATGTCACATGCCAGGTGATGCACAACGGAACTGGACTGGACTACGTCAACTCCTAGCTTAGTGATAGGGGGTGAAGTGATAGAACATGTTGACCACTTCACCTATTTGGGAAGTTGTATCAGCACCAACGGACTGATGGGCGATGAAATCTCAGCACGGATCCGAAAAGCTCGAGCTGCTTCCGCTGACTTACACCATCTCTGGCGTAGGCGTGACATCCGGCTATCAAGCAAGGATCGTGTGTACTGCTCAGCACTTTGCTCCGTCCTTCTCTATGGCTCTGAAACATGGCCAATACGAGTTGAAGACATGAAAAGGTTGACTGCTTTCGATCATAGATATCTGCGATCTCTTTCTCACGTTAGGTGGTGGTATAATAAGGTAAGTAATGTTGACGTTAGGCGTAGAGTGTTGGGCAAAGAGGGAAAATCAATCGACGAGGCTATAAAGTCACATAGATTGAGGTGACTAAGTCACGTGCTGCGCATACCTCACCATCGCCTCCCTCGACGGGCGTTACTAGCGGATATAGGTGCAGGTTGGAAAAAAGTAAGTGGTGGCCAAACAAAAACATGGAATCAATCCATCAAATCCTTGACAGTTAAACTGAATCAGTTAGGGAGATGCAGACTACCGGGTTGGAGCCCTCGGGACTCTAAGAATCAATGGCTGGAGACAATAGGTGATACGGCTCAAAATCTATATCAATGACGCAGATGGATTCAGTCTCTGTAATTTGTCATATTCCTGTGGGGAGAGAGAAGACAGGAACACGCTGGACCACCGATAAGAAGACTCTAGGAGTTCGGAACTTGGTGGATGTCACTCAAACTCAAAGACTTACAGTTGAAAACCAACAGCTTGATAACAGAAGCAAAAAGAAAGGACCTTAAGTGAACATATAAAGAAGATAAAGGTGATGAATATACCCATCGACCGACTGATTAGCAACCAGCACCAATCGCTATCGACGAAAGACATTCGAGAGCATTCAGGCAGTATCGTCTCAACAATAGGCAGAAGCACAAATGAGGATGTTAAAGTCAGACTGGATCGGAATAGCAAGGCAGACCTTTATCACTCTTAAATCAGTCATTTCTCTATAGGTCAGAAAGTTGGCGCATCACATAAAGCGTTCCTAACAACTGCCTTCAGTGAAGATAAAACAGAGAAAAGTCCTAGAGTGGAACCTGCTGAATTGGAAACGGTGAGTTGAACATCCAAGGGTGACATGTATTAGATTGTGTGAGGAGGAGATGAAAGCGTATGGGCAACGATGGAGCAAGGTAAACTGGATTGCAGGGAACGGAGATGTGCTGTTGAAGTCATATCTCGAAATGCAAAGGAATAAAATTGAATCAGTTAATTGATTAGTTATCGTGGGAGAGCTGATATCACTCGGCTACCCAGACTGAAGTTGCTAGAGCCTATTTCGGCGTGGATACCACATAACCGACACTCTACTGCTTAAACCAATAAGCTGTATCCTTTGTGCATGTATTTCCATAAGAAATTCACAGTAGCTGAGGATGCAGGTATGAAGGAGATGAAAGATGAGTTAGTCAACATGTGTTATGTAACGCAACGTCTTCAAAAGCAGATGTGTCCACGGCAGACATAATATACGAAATAATGCAGCTCAAATATTGTGTCCTGCAAATTATGAAGTATATTCATTCTAAGAAGCAGGTGGGATTTGTGATGGTTAAGTGCTTAGTCAAGTGGACCTTTAGTCATGTCCTCCTTTATGGCTGCGAGTCCTTGCCATTGAGAGTTGAAGACATGAAAAGCCTGGTTAGCTGGCTGTCTTTGATCATAATTGTCTGCATTCTACCTGCCGTGTTAAGTGACACAATACGGTGAGCAATATTGAGGTTAGGCATCGGTCGAGTGCTAGGTAAGTAGGGGAAATCAATTGACGATGTTGTGAAGTTCAGTTTATTGAGATGGTTAGGACATGTGTTATGCATGCTGTATGCCTAGCCATAGCCTTCCTTGACAATGGGCAATGTTAGTCGCTGAAAGAGGATGGATCAGGTTGGAAAAGAGCTAGTGATCGTCAAACCAAAACATGATATCAGTCAATGAAATCCACAACTGGTTACGCAATCGACAATTTTAAATTTGAATAAAAAACAAAGAAAGAAATTATCAGCTGACCTGGATTCTTCACCCTCTAACATTTTTCGATACATTAGTATTTCTTGATCCAATGCAATTTTCGTATTCATAAGATCAGTAAATTCACGGAAACTCTCCTCTAGTTCTTCTTTCAATCGATTTACCTCTTGACGTTGGAAAAGTAGCTGAGATTCGAAGTCACGTCTTTCATCAGCCAATTGTCGTTCGAGATCAGCAACTCTTCGTTGAAGTAGATCGAGTTCAGCAATTTTTTTGGACAAATCATGAGCAAGATCATCGGCTCTCTTACGAGCGATCAACAGTTCAGTTCGTTGACGAGAAGCATCTTCAGCACTGAAATTCGCGGATGATTTCAGCTGTCCAAGCTTGTTCTAGAGTAGAAAGCAAATGGTTAGTGAACTTTTTCATAATTACATTATTAATCCAAATTAATGAAGCACAAAAGTCATGATAAATCTTTTCCACGGTGTTTTCGATTACACCTTATACACCACCAAGTCCTAAAGTCGTGGCTAAGGTTCATTTGTGATCGAGCAGTTGGATGGAAATGTACTCAATGTTATACTAAACACTTGTTTGATGCATGCAGACAATTGTTCATATGTTGTAACACTTGAGGAACTAATACCTAATGAAGCTTCCAGAGAATATAGAAGTCGCATATAGAAATAAATAGCGCACGAACATGCTTAGCCCGTGAGTAATTACCAAAAAGGGAAACATGATAAACTAGTCTGAGGAGATACATATGCTCTAGGGAACAGCATTTAGTTACACCGACTACATGTTATGTAAGGACAGTCCAGCAGGTTTACTATCCCATGACAGAGACCTTACGAGGTCATCTGCTGCAAATGTTCTTCCGTCACCTTTATTATACGACATCTGCAGAGGCTAAAGGAAATACTGACGTTGCCTTAGTGGTCACTTGAAGCCAGCGCACCACCCAACTCCGTCAACTTCTAAAAACCCGTCGGTGGCAGCCAAATATGAAGTCTCGGTAGACGGACGGCTGCCTTATCCGATTCTGCGTATAGGCACTGGGGCAGTGCTGCTTTTCAAGACGGGAGGGTACTTGTGACACTACTACACATACTTCATAATTGTGATATTCTGACATTTCTTGGGGATACGGACCATACGAATGCCGTGGACTAATTTACTGAACGATGTAGACAGAATGAACATAAATGATAAGACACCGAACTTGTGGTTTCAGTCTTTACGCCTAAATCTGTACTTCATGTTGTAATAATACATCGTATGACCCACTTTCAGGCTTCGTGTTCTTCCTCGTGTACGCTTGAGTCGTGCACATTGGTTGGCTAGTATATACTCTCTCCTACTTTTTACAAGTGAAGCTGCTCCCCTTGCTCCCATCAACTTTACAGTGTCTCCTAATTCAAGTACACTAAGTTGGATAAGGATGTACTGATAGCAGACTAAACTAAGTATGAAAGTCTCGGTTACCACTTTGAAACATCTGTGTTCTGACACGATTCAACTTAGCAGTCTACTCCTTAACTGACCTAACGATCTACTGACTGGACAAGGTTAACGTAAATCACTAAGCACACAAGTGATCTGGAGTTTGCTTCCCTTCCGACGCATGCCTAGACCTTACTCAGTCAGCAGTAAGACCGATAAAGAGGAAAGGTTAGGCGTGTGGCTAGCAACCCCACCCCGTGAAAATGGAAAAAAACACCACTGCTACCGAGACTTCAAGCCTCTAGCTTGAAGACCCTATGTTCCACTCAGAACACCTAACAACTCCTAACTTGTACTGCAGACAAACAAGACAATTATCAAAAGTTAACTAACTCTACAAGTAAGAAAAATGTATGAAATAGGGAATAATCTTAAGGAAGACTTCGTGAGCTCTTGGAAGTGTGTGGGCGGTCGTTTCATCCCGGCTGCTCACACCGTGGAAGTTGATTGATTCTCCGGGAACCTGAAACAGAAAGAGGGTTAGTGTTGCGTGGCCGCAGAGCCCAGGGGACAACTGCTTGACGCCGGTCACACACAGCTTGTATGAACTGGTTTCTGGGATTGGTTCCGTATTAGTAAACTTACCGCCGGTTACGGACCATCGTAGGGTTGGTCGGGATGTACAATTTTTGGAGGCGACCTTTTCTAACCCCCTCTCTCCGAAGTGGAGAGTCAGCATAGCTGGCATGCTGGTCATCTGAGGAAAACACCTTGCCACTGTTACATCCCTATTCCCCAGCAGTACAACTTCGCCCACAGACCCCCAGCATAGTTCAAAAATATCCTTACACTATGCCGGTAACTGCTTCCAGTCTTATGGCTATCCTAACAACCTTCCTGGCATGACAGGACCTGCAGGAACATTGGTTCTAGCCAGTACAGCTTGTTGGGTCATTGCGATGTGCAAGCCCGACCACTCCGTCAATATAGCAGCTATCGGTTGGGGTTGACATGAGAAATAGGCTTCTAGGCGATTTATAACAGTAAAATACGGAATACAATTCATATCTCCTTATTTGGGAGGGAGGTATCTGTAAGAACTCACCTCAAATGTTTCTTCCATTTGTATCTTATACTCTTCTAATTCACTTGCTGTCTGATCACGAATTGATCTAAGTTCATCGGCCAACCGACTTTCGTATTCTGCTTGTTTTCGGCCTTCAACCTCCTCCTCAATATACATACTATGTTCAACTAATTTTTCACGTTCCTAGAAAGAAATATATTGATTTTTTAAAAGGTTGAGTACACTCACTTCATCGAATAGACGAGAACGGAAATCCAATTGTTCTTTAAGTCCAAGAATTTTATTTTCTAAATCAGTGCGTAGTAAAGTCTCCGCTTCTAAATCTCGTTTCATCTCTTCAAATCTTTTCTCTAGAACATGATAGTCACTAAGAAGTGGCTATAAAGTTGTAAAATAAAAAATGATCACAATATAATAAATTTACCTGATAGGCATCATGATCTTGTTTGTATTTACTTAATTCTCTTTCAAGAGTCTCCACTTTTCTTTGTAAATTACGATTTTCTAATTCTCTTTTATTCGCCTTCGATTTCATATCATTCAACTCATCTCTTAATTGTTTTGCATCAAGTTCTGCTTTAGATTTTTGTTTAGCTAAATCATCAACTAAATTTCTAAGCGCTGTAATCTCATCTTCATAGGTCTTTCTAGCTTCTTCAACTTTACTCTAAGAAATAAAAAGCTTAGTTAGCACAAAAATTGCAATTCAATCACTTACCATACGCTCTTCGGTTACAGTTTGTATACGACGTGTAAGTTTTTGTTTGTCAAGTTCTAATTTTCGAACATAGTCAATATAACCGGCTAGACGATCATTCAGATGGGCAAGTTCATCTTTTTCTTCAGATCGACTAATAGTTAACGGACTGCTAGATCGTTCATTACGTGAATAGCTTTTACGAGGTGTTCCACCTGACGATGATGTATGACTACGCTCTATGGTAACAGATCTTGAAAAGGAGGATGTTGGACTGCCTTCATTTTTCTCAGCGTCTGGAGCTTTTTGTTTTTTGGATCGAGCAGACATATTCTACCAGCAAAAAATTTTTTAATTGGGATGTAAGTGTGATGGATCACTGATGCGTGCTGAAGGAATTTCTCAGTTTTGTCCAATTCAAGCAGAAAATGATTTGTGCTGTAAAAGGTATAAAATCGTTTAGTAATGGTGGCTAAACAAGGACGCATACACAATAACATATATAAGCAATCGGACATATAATCGCTATTAGGTTACCACTTCACACCGTACATTTAAGGAAAAATGTATACAAAGACATAAGTGCCGATTAAAGACTCAAGGATTCTAGGGAGATAAGATAAAAAAGTACTTTCAACATATAATTCTCAAGATTAGGGGATCGTGTGTACAGGCATCTCCATTATAACAGTCAATTTTGAAACTTGTGACTAGAAAAAGTATTTTAACAAGGGATAAATTACGACCGTTTGATGGGTGAAAAATGTACTACCCGTAAACGGATTGTTATTGTTCAAATTGTCTTACTTATTTGAAACTAGCTTGACAACAAAAACATAAAGGCAGGTGCTACTTTGAATAATGATGATGGCAGAGGGAGAGAAGAGTCATGTTATTAGTTCTCACAGTGAAAAGCACCAATATATGATAGCTCAAAACAACTATCGCTTACTTTATCATGAGTAGACCCCATTTAATTTTTTTTCTCCTTGTGAGTGTCAGAGTTAGTAAACACTTAGGAATTCACAGGTATCATCTACGAAAATGACACCAGTTAAATGAAGATATTGACTGAACGAGTTTGATGAAACCCTTAAATGTCATTAAAAAATGATAGTGATGTTGCGGAAACGACAACGACCAGTTATCGAATACTGCCGGTTCCAAAAGGTTAGATCCCATAAGCGCGATGCACGCGATAGATCACAGTCTTAAGTTCACGTTAAGATTATACCCAAGTTACTGGGTGTCAACATGGTCATCTGGATGCCAACATAACACTTGTCTGTCTGTCTGTCTGTTTTCGACATAGAACTTTGCACAAATGTGCGGAAATTCAAGTCGCCACATTCCGTGTAGCACGCGAAGCAAGAGAAAAAAGTACAAGAAAAGCATAATAGAAACAGTGAGCAGAGGTCTGAGACAAAGGAGTAATAAAGAAATACAAAACAGTTTCATTGGAGATCATAAGTCACAAGGAGTGGATGCATCTGTGCTAGCTATTGAGAACGATTTTGAGCCATGTCACCAATTGTTTCCAACCATAGATTTTTACCGTGCGAGGACCCCAGCCTGGAAGTCTACACCTTCCTACGTGGCTTAGACCAACTGTTGTGGATTTCATTGACTGGTGAGGCCATGTTTTGGTTTGACCGCCGCTAGCTTTTTTCCAGCCTGACCCAATATCCGCTAACATTGCTCGTCGAGGGAGGCGATGGCTTGGCATACGTAACACATGTCCTAACCATCTCAGTCTTTGTAACTTCACGACTTCGTCGATTGATTTCCCCTGTTTACCTAGAACTCGACGCCTAACCTCAATGTTGCTCACCTTATTATGCCACTTTACACGGGAAATAGAACGCAGGCACCTATGATCAAAGACAGCTAACTGATCTTTTCATGTCTTCCACCATGACCAGGTCTCACAGCCATAAGGGAGGACGGAGCGGACTGATGAGCAGTACACCCGCCCTTTGGTCGATAGTCGAACATCTCGTCTACGCCAGAGTCGGCGTAAACTAACAAATGCGAAACGAGCCCCTTGTATTCGTGCTGAGATTTTGTCAGAGATCAGCCCGTTGGCTCTGGCTGATGGTACTTCCTAAATAAGTGAAGCGGTCAACGTGCTCTACCACTTCACTTCCTATTTTTAAACTAGGCGTCGATGTAGTCCAGTCCTGTAACATCATCTTGCATTTGGCAGGAGCGAATCGCATGCCAAACATTCGTAGATTGCGGCTCAAGGTGTTTAGAAGACTCTGCATTTCGTCAGCATCTTCGCCTAGAAGGACTACATCGTCTGCATATTCCAAGTCAACGAGATTATTCCCCGGTAGCAAGTCAATCCCTGAGTCGCTGAAGTCACCTAGGGTTAAGTCCATTAACACATCTATGATGAAGTTGAATAGAAAAGGAGATAATGGGCATCCTTGACGGACACCACTGGTCGTCATCAGTTCAGATGACAGCTCGCCGTAAGCCCTCACCTGGCTGTATGAGTACGAGTGGAGTGCCTTAATCAGTGCAATATATTTTCTTGGAATTCCCTTTACAGCCAAGCATCTCCAGAGAACTTCCCGATCGACAGAGTCGAATGCTAACATAACACTTACTGTCTGCTAAACCAGCAAACAGGTTAGACGCGCATTTTATGACGTCTAGTGGCTTATCCACAAGTTTCAGTGCAGGTTAGTCTTCTGATAACAATGAAAGCATCTTGATATTAAAACATGTAGAGCGATCAATTAAGGCCACCGACTGTTAGGTCGTCTGATTTAGAACTTTGGCTTTTCGACTAACAGGAGCAGGATTCTTCCCAAAAAATTTTAAAATATCTCAATTACACGTACCGTCACGGTACTTGATACAAGAAGCAATTAAAACTGAGAATCATGGCCTTTTTACTAACCGATTCCTTTAATTTCAGTGGTGGGACAGTCAAGCACATCTTTTCAACCAGTCTTAACCTAAAATGAGTTCATCGCAGCCCTTCACAATGGACCAGAGAAAATGGTTATGAAGTCACTCATAAACCATGATTTTTAAATGACAGTGATAGTTGAACATATAACAAACAATGCAGTCTGTCAAAAAGTGCACTTCTATGACTAAAGGATACGTGATTAACTGAGAAGTGGAGCAAAGTTTCTTGCTTCCCTCTCGCTAGAGCTGGAATCTTAAGAGCGAAGGTAGGTGGCGGTTTAGATACTTTACTGATTCAGCAAGGCCAAGAGGTGGTACAATAATAGCAGAACCTCTATATTAAGTGTAGACGACCGTGACTTCCTACACTTTGGTTGCACTGTGTTTCCATACCGGAAACAGAATCGGGTGATGTTGAGGAACAAGAGGAATAAGAACGAATTTTAAAAATAACTTTAGCGAACAGCTGCATGCTGTAATACAGTGGCAGCTACGACTTTCTGAACGCATTGAATGATTCGAAGGGCTTTCAGATGCCTGGATGTGTCAGTATTTTACACCAATGTACGGGAATTCGGGGTATCATCAAAAGCTTTCTTCACTATCATACCGAAGTGAATCGATTTCAAATTACCCTACAGTAAATGGCTATTAGGGTTTCGATCTTAGGAATTCTTACTGCCCTTTAGGAATACCTCCGAAGTCACATGAGTGCTCAAACCGTTGGAAGTCAGCTTCTGGAACTCCCTGTGAGACTGAGTGGTTCAGGCATCAAACGTAACAATTCGCAGGGAAAACGGACCTCCGCAGTAACGCATACTGCGAAAATCAACACAGGCTACAAAAGTATACTATATTTTATAATCCGAATGTTTATACTTGCATACTGTTTATCCTAATACTGTAAAATTCCGGGTAACGGAGTTGTGCTGTTGGGTTAGCTTCTTTGTTGGAACATAACTTCCCAAGAAACACGTCGGACTGAAAGACAATCTTCAGTAAGCTAAGACAACAAAGAAAGTTCGCCTATGAGCGATAGTTACATAATTATTGTCTACAAATCTCACAGAATAAATGAATGAAAGTATGGAGAGCAAAACTCGGAACTTAAAATAATATGTAACGTTAAACATAAAAAGACTCACAGTCAGAAATATTCACAACAAAACGTGCCAACCATGAAAGAGTTTAAATTTAATGGGCAGCGTAATTATTGATACGTCAAAACAAAATATACACAAAGTCCAAATTCAGGTTCTTACCTACGGGGAGTTACTACAAGCTAAATAGACAACAACAGTCGGAATGCCACTCTGCTTCAGCATGCAACAAATTCCGAAGTGCTATTTCTTTTGTCCACCCTCCGACGTGTTCACTTTTTGTTTTAACGGGTCCACGTCTGGTCTGGCTCGAACACCATTCCTCTCTCTTCCGTTCTGCTGTTAACGTGCACATTCTCGGAGTCTGTAATTCAACATACTAGTTCAATAACTAACAAATCTCTTCCCTCGAATATTCTTAACCTTTGATTACATTCAAATTTACTGCTCATCAGAACACGTCAATAATTAACTGCCTTTTTGAAATGGGTTCCGTTGTCATTGCGTACAGGTTGGGTAGAGTGCTGATTTTTTGGTTGGTTAAGCCAACTACTTTTAGTAAGCTGATGACATTTCCAGTATCTTACACTTCCTTCAGCATTAAAAACGCTTCCTGAATCATTGATTTAATGACTGTGACTCCTCTTAAATTAATCTTTGACGTATCTGACCCATCGAAATCTTCGGTTGAATGGGAGTTCTGTAAAGGATGTGCGTCGGTGGCACAGTGGTTAGGACTCTCGCCGACCATGCACATGGTCCGGGGTTCGAGCCCGCACCGACGCACATCTGATATCTATGGTCGGCCTGCAAAATTTGGGCTACCGATATCCATGCTGAAAATTCCATACTTGAACCAAAAATACAGTGTGGAATCAAGCTGTAAATCAAAAAAAAAAAAAAAAAAAAAAAAAAGATAGCAGCATCTAGTCTTGTGGTTTTGAGCACCATGTGTCCAATTCCAAGTAGGGTTAGTCTTTCTGACACAGCACTCATCAATATGGTGTAAATATCTCAGTAATGCCTCGAAAACAACTTACTCCTCATGATCATATAATTTCACCTACACGACTTCATATCTTTAGTACACTGTGGATTGCGAAGATATGTTAAAATGGCAAAGTGGTCATAGTCTTTACATGTTCATCTAGGATAGCATCTACTCT